TAGCCACAATCCTGAGATCTCTGAGTGAAGAGATGATGGGAGGTACGGGTGGAACATTGATGGCTTCAAACTTGAAGACACAATTCTTTACTATACCATGGTCTTTTAGATGATAAAGTCAATGGAATTAGAACCCTGTCCCATTATCACACATATCCCTGCAGCCCGTCTAGAGTCCAAGGTTTTAACCACACAAAATAAGCTGACTCTCATGACCATCAGCTGAGCTCTGAAAGCTTTAGATCATAGAGATGATAAAGAAAAACCTGTCAAAGACTCTTAATTTTCATAAGCATACACTTTCTACCTTTTATGTCAATGAAGTAGGAATTGAGAAATTGAACAGGACTGTGCAGCTACAAACACAGCATGTCCAGGGAAAACTCACACAATAGACCTCTGGTATTAATGGCTGACCCTCAAAAGACTTAAAGAAGAGACGTATGTGGGAACCTATGTTGACCAGAACAATGTAATATCAAATGTGAGGGCAGGTGTGATGTTACCAGTATGAAATTACATTATGAAGTTAGAGTGTGACATCAAGGGAGTTAACAGAAGAGAGTTTTCCCAAAGAAGGTTATGATGTTTCTGCTCAGAACTAAACACCACTATGGACCACCAGGCCTACTGAGGAAGGATTGAAGGAATAAAAAGCTTTGAGAGAAACCTCCCTTAGACTTGACCATTATTGGTTTATATATTCTTATAAGCAAGACCCCACTGTACTAAAAGGAATTCAAAGCACATGTATATGCTCCCAATTGTATAGACATGAGGAGACACTAAAATGTAACTTCAACATGCTTTTAGAAGAAAGAGTAAGATGTTGTTACACACACACACACATGAACCCATTGCTAACTATATTATAAAATACTCTCTAAGGTATAAGAGTTGATTTTCCAGTTCATGGAAATTGAAGGTGACAAATAAGATGCAAAAAACTGAAGAGTAACTAGAGAGAGCTTGGTCAGTTAAGTGTTTTATGTGCAAGTATGAGGCACTAAGCCCATGTAAAATTCCCATGTGAAAGTAGCAAGCATAGCAATGCATGCTTGTAATCTCCAGTTTGGAGGGGGGAGAAAAGACAGGAGGATCCCCAAGGCCTGCCAGGCTAGCTGAATTAGTGAGTTCCAGGCCACTAAGAGACCTAGTCTCAAAATACAAGGCAAATGAGTCCTGAGGAACAATACCAAAGTATAGCCATAGTGTCTACATTCAAGTGCACTTAACACACGCACACCTACACATAAACACTCATATGACCACAACACACAAACACATGCACACACAGGAACAGGCAAGTTGGTAGTGAAAGAAGGAACTTGCCTCTACAAAGAAGAAATTTTCCAGCTCAGGTAGATGACCAGAACACTCTTTAGAATTTTCTTTGACTTTCTGATAGTTCATTCTGAAATGAAGTGTTCATGAACACAAAGCTTCAATTATCCTTTTAGAGCATCATTCAGTATTGGAGGACAGCCATAGATCACTGATTTGAGGAAACCCTCTATTTTTGGAGAAGAAGACCAAAGGAAACAAATAATGTGGAACTCGGGAGCTATGCAAGGACCAGGGAGGGAAAGATAAATCTATAGTTAACATCCTCTGAGAGAAATGAAGACAACATAGACCCTGACACACAAACAGGGAGCTGTAAAAGCAGAGCACTCAGGATACCACATATAACTCTCATAATGTATAAAATACACTGTCAGATTTAAGGCAAGTCACTACATGGAATTAGAAAATGAACTTGAGAAAACTTCCTGGACAATGACATAGAAATTGCTAGAGAATAAACAACTGACTTGTAGGCTCTATCTAAGAAATAGTTCTCTCATCCAGTTAGTGAGGAATCGCAGGAAAGAGCGCTGTTTTGATGAAGGGAAAGAAAGCATCCATTAAATAATAACCTTCAACAGAAATGCAAGAAGGGAAAATGCATCAAAATCAGGCACAAATTAAGAAAACTCAAAGCACATTGTCACGAATGTTTAAAACCAGAGATAAAATTCGAAAACTTTCTGCTGCAGAAGTCGAGTGTGAAATGGAACTTTAAATAGGAATGGAATTGGGCTTTCTTACAAGATGCCAAAAACGTGCCTCCAAATGTATGAAGAAAAAGTATGTCTGACCTAGAAATGTATATCCAGATGAACTTTTCAATCCTTTGTGGGTAAAATAAGCCATCTTCAGACTGCAAGGTCTCAAAAAAAAAATGTACCTACTCTACATCCTTTCTCAGCAAGTAAATAGAAGCCATCTTCTGCTAAACTGAAGGAATAAAATCTTGGAAGAAGACAAACAGCCCAGAAAATAGAAGCTATAACTCAGGAAGAAAGTGTAGATGTCACAGGGCAATGGCAAAGAGAAGCTCTGCATGGGTCTGCAGAAGCAAAAGCTCCAGATGGAAGAAGGAAACAGTGTTCTCAGGGTGCTGATGCACAGAGGGGAATACACCTCTGTGGCCTCATCCAGAAGATACTCAGGAAGCTGAAGTGAGGGTACATAGAAAAACAGGCAAAAGATACGCCAGTGAAAAGGCTGGAAAGATGTTTATTGATTAAGAACCCTTGCTGCCCAATCATGGAGGCTGGAATTCTTATTCCAAAGCTTATTATAAAAGCCAGTGCCATGCCTATCTGTTACACCATGTCTGCATGGGGCAGAGACAGGAAGATTATTGGTGCTTGCTGGATTCCAGCCAAGAAGAGAAAATACAAACCCCAGGAGAGTTTCCACCTCAAAGATATAGAAAGAAATTGAGGAGAGCATCAGAGCCCTCTTCAGTTTCTGTGTATTTACACAGGTAGACATGTTTGCACACACATGCATATGTCCATGCACTCACATAGATACACACACAAATAAAGAAATACTTTTTAAAATAAAACAATGCAATTTTTAACTCCCACACCACAACTTCTCTGATTCTGCCCGCCAACCACAGTCTATTATCTTTACCTTTACAGCTGTAGAGCACCACACACACGTTTACCAAGTAACAAAGGCATGCCACTCACTGGTTAGGGTCATTATTGGATGCTTAATATGTGCTAGATTCCAGGTAGGAACAAGAAGTTCCACTATCCCACAATTTCAACAAAATTTGGTAAGACAATAGTTAAGTCTAGTGATCCATTCCCTATAACTGGTAAGTGTCAGAGTTGGAAAGGTGAAAGGTGGTGGAGAAGGAAAATCATCTTGTTAAGGTTTTTAGTTGACTTTCTATAGATTTCCATGTGAAAATAACCATCTGTAAGCACTTACTCACTCACTTGTCCCCAGAATATCCTTGCACTAATTTCAGAAGTTAAACAAGATGTAACGACAACCTTGGATGAAAACCCAGCAGCTTTCAAGTAAATTGTACCTGGTAGCTTAAATCTGACTCAAACAATGCAATTTTAAAAATAAAATTCTATATAACTTTCTAATAAATATCATTAATTTTTATTTAAACAATACATTTTAAAGGCTCTCTGTGTGTGTGACTCTCTCTCTTTCTCTCTCTCTCTCTCTCTCTCTCTCTGTGTGTGTGTGTGTGTGTGTGTATGGATGACTGCAGAGCCACCCAAAGTTGGTGCTTGAAGCAAAACACTGGTGCTTTGCAAGAGCAGCAAGCACTCTTAACTGCTAAGCCATCTCTCCATCCCCTCAGCAATAACTTGCTATCCTACAAAAATCTAATTAACAGGCTGGGGTAATAAAAGAGCAGTTGGTAAAATCCTTGTCACACAAATATGAGTTCCTGAGTTCAACTCCCAAAACCCCCAAAACCCCCAATAAAAAAAAAAAAAAAAAAAAAAAAAAAAAAAAACAGGTTTGATGATGTAGATTTGTAATCCCAGCACTGGGGAGGCAGAGACAGGGGGATCCCTGTGGTTTTCTTGGCCAGCAAGCTCCTGGCCAAAGAGAAACCCATATCAAAAAAAAAAAAAAAAGATAATGGCTCCTAAGAGTCACACCTGATAATTGCCTCTGGCCTACAAACACACACACACACACACACACACACACACACACACACGTGCCAAAAAAAATCCACAAATTAAATGCAAAGTTCGAATTTAGTACTAATTCTATAGTCATCAAACTATAGCAATGTACATTTAAAATACATAAAATCAAGATATTCTATATCTTATATATATTAAGGTATATTAAGATAAATATGAAATACTGTATATTTAAGGATATATAAGTTAAGATTTCCCTGAAAAATTCGAGATATGTATGTGTAGAAAGAACATACAGTGAGGAAGTAGTGTCTTCATTGCTCCCAGAGAGGCTCACACATTCACAGGAAGAGTGACCTTTAGTTAACATGAGAAGTTTCTTGAGCTAATTATCCATAACTGATATTGATCAGGGGCAGAGCTCCAAGCATCCCTTTACTCATTCATACAGCCACCTGCCACTCTATAGTCAACAGTGCCAGGCACTAAGACAGGTACCAAGAGAAGAATAAAACAGTTCTGCGACCCTCAAAAACTTATCCTGGGAGAAAATGACATGAACACTTATAAAATAAGCTCAGTGTTGATGATATCATGGCCTGCAAGGCCTTTGCTCATTTTTAACTTAGAGGAATAAGAAAGAGATATGTCAGGGTTTTCTGGAAATGCCCTATGTGATGATAAATCCTTTTCTTCCATACAAGTCAGGGTTCTATGGTTCCAAGAGTGTAGACTTCATGAAGATGGTGTTTAATGAGAGTGTGGAACATAGGTGGGCTCCAATAAAGTAATTCACAGACTTGGGCCCAAAAGGATATCATAAACTCTGAGGTGAATTTTGGTTACTTTTCAGAAATGGGATACTCTTCTAAAAGGTTCTGTGGAAGTTGCCCTGTGCCTGATTGGGGGGGGGGGGGGGGGCAGTTAAAGGGCTTAAGAGTATGATGCTTGTGTCCTGGGTAGCCTATAACAGTGTTATAGCCAGCCTTTTGGACTGAGGATGCAGCCTTCCTTGAGTGTCAGGGCTAAACATCTATGTGTTCTCTCCCAGTGCAGTGCCTGGAGATGACCACCAAACGGAAGCTCATTGGCCGCCTGGTGCCATGCCGCTGCTTCCGCGGCGAGGAAGAGATCATCTCAGTATTGGATTACTCCCACTGCAGCCTGCAACAGGTGCCCAAGGAGGTCTTCAACTTCGAACGCACGCTAGAGGAGCTCTATCTAGATGCCAATCAGATTGAAGAGCTGCCCAAGGTGAGTTCTGACAAACCGAAAACACACTGTCAATGCCAAGTTCCCAATGCCAAGAGTCCGCATGGAGGTAGTTAGCCTTCCTTCAGGCCAGATAGCTGACACTGTAGCCTCCATCCAGTAATTAGCACAGGAAAGCCTCTCACAGCTCAGACTTCCATCATAGCATTTGATGCACAGCTGCCTCACACTCAGGTAACACAGCAGGACCTTCTATGCTGGTGACTAACAGCCTGGACTACAGAGTGAGTTCTAGTGTATAAAGAGAAATCCTGCAGTCCCCTGCTCACATTTACACACATGATAGAGAGTTTATGTTTAGAAAAGAGAGAGAAATACGAAATACGATGATTTTAAAACACAAATTTATATGTTAAAATACTTTAAACCTTGAACTATTCATTTTAAGTCTAATAGATTTATAAATAATATAATTCCAAACATGATAAAGAGACTGCAGGTGTAGAAAACATTATTAGTGGAGTGCCTACTTAGCATGGGCAGAAAAGAAAGAAAACATTTAGTTTGTGTGTTTGCATGTGAAAGTATTTCAATCAAAACTTTAAGTATCAAACTTTACATGTGCACTCCTGTGACTTTATTCTCTGTTAAATAATAAGGAAGTGACTAAAGTAAACCAAAGCCAAACCTCAGAGAAGTTCAAAGTTAGAAGCACCTATTAGTTACCTAAATAAATCACTAGCTTAAGCAGACAGCCACATGTTTACTAGTGAAGGGACTTACACAATTGAAAGTGCATTCCATATGCAAAAAAGGTTATTAAATATTTCAACGTGCTAATCAAAGCAAATTATAAACAGTTATTTTCACATAAGATTATGAATGGTGGTGTTTATAAAATGTTTCAAAATCAGGAAATATTTAATTTTTACTTCAAAAATAGCCTACTTCATTTTTAACCATGTAAATTGTGAATACGTAATCCTGAGTCTTTGCTCAGAGATCTGAGTCAAGCCTAGAAAAAGTTGTTGACCACAATGGGTTAACACGGGAAATCCCCAGATTGCAGCTCAGGAAGAGGCTGCACTGAAGTGGACTCTCTCTGCCCCTGTGAACCACTGGAAAGCAGAGTGACATCTACTCACTCTGCATCCAGGAAAAACATGTTTGGTAGCTTTCACAGTGGACATGAACAGAATTTCATGTCCTGCAGGACTTTATTAGTAAAACCACAAAAGTTTGTTTTGGGGTTTTTGTAATTTGGAAAAATAAGCACAGGTTTTGGCAACTGTTGTTGGTTTTAGGTCAGACCAATATAGACTTGGCAGATAAACTAGAGGCCAAGTTAAATTAAAATTCTAAATTAAAAAAACAATAAAAATTTAATAAGTTTATCCTAAATATCACACTGGATACATTGGTGTTAAAAGAGAGTTTTTATTTATATTTACTCTAGAATCATCTTTCTTTACCTTCTAAAGCTAGCAACTTTTGGGTCAATCTCATATTAAAACATTTTTCCAGATCTACAAAAGATTGTTTAAGGCAACTAGTGAAAACATTAAACATTGTGAGTTAATAAGGAACTACTTGTTTAATACATACTCTCTGCTACGTTGCACTTGAGTCCTTAGGAAGAGGTCAGTCTCTGCTCCAGAGGATCTGGAAGCCTAATTACAGAAAAAAATAAAAGAAATTTTGGAGAAACGTATGCAATAATGTATCATAGAAGCCAAATACTGCTGTAGTGCTTATGTACAGAAGAGTTCCTTTCTTGAGGAGGTAAAGGAAAGACTTATTCAAACATGGATGAGCAATCAAGACAGCGTTATCACAGGGAAAAGGAAACAGAAATGTGTAGACTCTGGAGCTGTAAGGACAGCATGAGTCAGTAACACATGGAAAGACAACAGGGAAGATCAGATAGCAGGAGCTGCCTCAAGTTGCAACACAGCCTTGTTGAAATGCAAGCATTAGGAAAAAACAAAAGACAAAACCATTGAGAATTATGCATTATGCTATTCACCAGGGGCCTAGGTAGGCTTGGAAACAAAATCTAAGATCATTTGTCTATCCTGTTAATTAAAACAATCAAGTAGCAATAAATAAAAGTAACATAAGTGCACCGAGCACTCAATGTGTTTCCTGTGTACTTAAATAGAAGAGAAACCGTTAATTGTCTCCTACTCTCTACATATTTCAAACCCCTTATGTAATTGCTTAAGATTGGTAACAGAGACCTCTCTGTGAAAGAATTGTTACTCCCACAGAGCAGCCTCATTGGTCTCATCTGAAGTATATAATGACCTGAATTGTCTGACATTTGAGATATGATCATAACAGTACAAAAATATATTTGTAAATTGTCAGAAACAGCAGGAAAGTAAGAAACAAAACCCCAAAGAATGATAATGTAAGTCAGGACTCTCTCTTTCCTGTAATGGAGAGCCCCATCGAAACTGACTTTTAAAAGATGTTATATAACAGGAAGAGAACAAAGAGTTGGGTTTGATGGTGTTTGCAAAGATATGTCAAGAGCTATGAGAAAAGAAGTGAAAATAGATTAGAAAGAACAGGAAGATTCTAATTGAATAGTTCCCTCTGCAGCACTTAGTTTCTATAGTAAAAAGTAGAAATATAAAAGCCATGCCTTTCCCACAAGGACAGAAGCCATGCTGTTTATAACTTAATACTGTTTTGCTTTTTAATTAAGAATTAAATAATTATTTTGAATTAAGAAGTAGAGATACAGACAAAATAATAAAGTATAATGGGCATATATTAGATTAAAATAGTGTATGAAGACATACATGAATAAAATAGCAGTGAAAAATATAAGCTAGTTCTTAACATTCAAAATCTCTGTAAAAGAGAATAAGAGTGATTTAAGGAAAGCCATTGTGTGACAAAAGTTATAATAAAAGGGGACTTCGGTGAATTAAGTCAAGCTGCCCATATCTAAAATAGAATATATCTAAATCTGAAATACTTGACTTGAAAGTTTCCAGGTACTTTAGAGATTGAGAGCTTATATTTTGAACCCAGATTGGATCCTAACAGTGCCATTTGGTTCAGAAGGCATCTACTTCCCAGAAACCTCAGTTTTTTCCATCAGGAAAAGGGCAGCATTTCCTATACATAAAGTAAAAAGTGGAGGCAGAGTGAAGGGCAAGTTTAGTTTCCTGGGTGATAATGTATGTGTGAGACCTATAACTAAAAAATCAAAAGTAAACATTAACCCAGCCAGAGCTGGAGTGTGTACAATTCCCTTAAAAATTATGCTGAGTTAAACTAAAGTTAGATTTGATGGAATCATGGAGTAGTTCTAAGTGGTAACTACCCAACAACAAAAGCCATGCAAACTCGTGTTCAACCCCTGACCCTATACATCTCAGTGAGCCTCTCTCTGGCTAGAATGGCCTCTCTGAAGTCACAATGCTCCAGTTAGGGTTTTACATCTTCACTATCAATTACAGTTTTGTTCACCACCACAAGAAGGGGAAAAACTAAGAATTAGTTGGAACAAAAAAAGTAGTCTTCTTATTCTCTTTAATGACTAATAACTCCTTTTGCCACCTCACTATTGTACTTCCAAGTCTACCTATTTCTAGAAGTTTTCACCATTTCATTTTTCTTTACCTCTGATTCACCTTTTGATTTGTATATGTACCACATTCTCATTATCTATTTGTTTCTAGATGAACATCTAGGTTGTTCCATTCCCTTGTTATCATGAATGGAGCAGTCATAAGCACAGATATGAAAACATCTCTGTAGTAAGACATGGAGTTCTCTAGATACACCCAGGAGTGGAATAGCTAGTTCTATTGATAAATTTTGAGAAACCTCCATTTAGTTTCCATTCTGACCGAGCACAAAAATGAAAGTTTATAGATGGTAATGCTCTTCCCCACATAGAGTGACTATGGTTGCTCAGAACTCCTCCAGCTCAATGTCCAGCCCTTCATCCCAGGGATGGAGGGATAATTCAACATATGAAAATCTGTCAATGTAACCTACCATATAAATAAAGTGAAAGAAAAAAAAAACATGTGATCATCTCATTAGATGCTGGAAAAGCATTTGACAAAGTCCTTCATGATAAAAGTCTTGGAGAGATCAGGGATTCAAGGAACATACCTAAATATAATAAAAGCAATATAAAGCAAGCTGACAGCCAACATAAAGTTAAGTGGAGGGGAACTCAAAGAAATTCCACCAAAATCAGAAATAAGTCTGTACACTCTCTCCATATATATTCAATATACAACTTGAAATTCTAGCGACAGCAATAAGACAACTAAAGGAAATCAAGGGGATACAAACTGGAAAAGAAGAAGCCAAAGTAGCTCTCTTATATACAACAACAAAAGGGTTGAGAAAGAAATAAGGGAAGCAACATACTTCACAATAGTCACAAACAATATAAAATATCCTGGGATAACTCTAACCAAGCAAGTGAAAGACCTAAGTGGCAAGAACTTCAAGTCTTTGCTGAAAGGAATTAGAGAAGTTATCAGAAAATGGAAAGATCTCCCATGCTCATGGACCAGTAGGATTAACATAGTAAAAATGGCCATCTTACCAAAAGCAATCTACAGATTCAACACAATCCCCATCAAAATCCCAACACCTTGAAAGAACAATATTCAACTTCATATAAAAAAAAAGCCCAAGCAATCCTGTACAATAAAAAGAACTGCTGGAGATATCATCATTCTTGACTTCAAACTCAACTACAGAGCTATAGAAATGAAAACAACATGGTATTGGCACAAAAACAGACAAGTAGATCAATGGAATCAAATTGAAGACCCAGACATAAATCCACACACCTATGAACACCTGATTTTTGACAAAGAAGCCAAAATTATACAATGGAAAAAAGTATCTTCAACAAATGGTGCTGGTATAACTGGATGCTGGCATGTAGAAGATGTAAATGGATCCATATCACCCTGCACAAAAGTCAAGTCCAAGTGGATCAAGAATGTCCACATAAATTTAGTTACACTGAGCCTGATAGAAGAGAAAGTGGGAAA